GCACTGTGATCTAGCTTTTATACATAGGAAATATTTATAAATAAATGATAACACTGTTTTCTTTTATAAATTTTTCTGTACATCATTTTCAAGCAAAATTCTAAACTTTATGATTTTACAAAAAGAATATGCTTAGCTACGAACTGCGAATCTCTTTTCTAAGAAGTTATTAAAAATATGTTCGTAACTATTTTTTAATCGATAATCCAGTGTTCATATTTAATACTACAAAAACAAGTAGATGTATATGTTTTTTTCTCATAATCTAGTCTATCTATATCTTTCACGTTTATATACCTGCAAATGTCAACGATAGAAAAATAAGTTGTGCTAAGAATGAACTTGTCAATAAAAATAAGAATAAATAATAAATTGATGGTGCACCAATAATAATCACCCATACAAGTTCAATAATTAAATCCTGATAATTTCTTTTTACTTCAACCTTTTGCAATCCTAAACCATTGAATGTACCGTTTTGAACAAAATATTCATAGACTTGATCCTGAAAAAATAGAGAATATTATTATTTACGACAAGAATAACACATAAAACAAAATAAGTCCACCTTTTCTTGATATAAATGATGTATCCAATTACTACATTCCTCTGTTCCGCGAGGTATATTTGATATTGGTATTCGTCTAGATAAAAAATAATGCAAATATATTAAAATGAGAAATAAGAGAAATAAATTTTCTGAAAACGTAAAAGCCAATATGATGATGTATTACGTACCTGATAAATATTTCTGCTTTACATGCTCGTCCTTTTAAAATACTTCTTAATGTTGGTTCAGCACCTTCTTCTCTGAATCCAATTGTTAAATCATAGACTGATGCGACTAGAAGAAAATTTTTTACATAGTAACATTATTATGAGAAAAACAATAGACTGTTGTTACATACTTTTATCTTCTGCTCCGTCTAGTAATAATGTAAATCCTTTTGTTCTTGGTAAAATATGATGTTTTAATTCTGTTAGACCTTTTTCTTCAGCCACTTTCATACTTTCTACACGTTTTTTCTCAGTAAATCGCGTTCCTTCACAAAACATTAAAAACTAAATATAAAAACTTAGTGTTATGTCTCAAAAGCAAGAATAAAATATTATACGTACTTACATTGAAGTAATAATTTTTTGGATAATCATCGAGTACTTTTCTCATATCTTTTACTAATGTTTCCTTATCTGATTCCCACACTCGTCGAAGAAAGATACTTTCGGTAAAGATCCAACACCATCCAACTATGGGCACCAACCTTAACGATTGTTTACCGACAATCTTTGAACCCTAAAGAATATGAATATATTTTAAATAAAAAAGAATTGTTGTAGAAGAGCCATTAATATAAAATCCTACACCACTAACATTAAAACGTGCCAAATGAATAAAAATTCATCCCCGAATCAATGAAAGCTGCTTACTTTAATTCATTGAGAGAAAACACTACAAAAAGGAATTTTTTTTTCTCACTAACGTAATAAATAACATCTCAAAACTTACATGCATTATACCTAATCGTTGACAGATAATCCAACCTAAGAAAACAGAAAAAAACTTAATAAAAAAAATGTTTAAAATTTTACTAAACTCTGTTAAAATCTACCCATTAGCCAATCTATATCATATTTATGATTCATTACACAAATAATATGTTCACCAGATGCTAATTTAACATTCACTGGATCAATATATAATACACAATCACTATTAGCCCACCATTGAGCATAAAATGTAAATTGACTCCATATCAATGTGGCTAATCCACAATTTATTTTTCGATATAACGGCTTATTAAATGGCCAAAGTATGCAAGAACATAATTGTAAAAAATTCACAATTAAACCACTGACAATAAAAATATACGCGAGAAAAAATACGGTAATAAATAAGGATTTGAATTCGTTATAAATACTCATTGAATCTAAAATAAAAAAGATTTTTTTTTTTTTTTTAAATATCACTTCTCATTGTTCCACTGTACAAGAAAACACAACATTTTTAATTTTTTATCGAACTACTCTGACAGGATAGATAGAAAACTTTTTATTCAAAATCATTTTGTTAAATGAAAGACAATAGGACAATATATGTTACACATAACGATAATAGCCGTAAAGAATCGTAGATAATAATATAAAAATTTCCAAGACAAATTAAGATCTATTCTCTTTTTCCCTTTTTTCGTTTAAATTCTTATCATTAATACTCTCTATATTATTCAATTCTTTTCTCTCAATAGTTCATCGGCAAATAATATAAACACAGGTAGATATTCAATAATAATTCGAAATATTTTATTAATTGTATAAGTTTCACGATCAATTTATCACTATCGACTTTTCTTCATATAATTCAATTTTGAAATTTTTGCTAGAAAAAAGATGTGGAGACCCTTTAATTTCTGCGTAATTATGAACAGAATATAGTTTGTGATTCTGGATATGACAGTGATGATTATGTCATTATCAAAATGTAATCTCTTCAACCGCGTTTATTTACAATCATTGACATGTGTATTTTTCAAAAGCTTTGATCATCCTACGATCAGTGTTCGAATCGGTCAACTATGTCCGCATCACTTTCACGGATCGCTTTTCAGCATAATTCTAATTTTTTCCACATTTTCAAACTGGCACTAGAATATGATAAACGAAAACGTCTCATCTGGAAAGCGCACAAAATCTCTAAAACGCTAGCCGTTAACTTAAAAAATATGCAAGATAATAATATGATAGCATGAAAAGAAGATATTCAGTTGATTTTGTAGTTTTGATGAAGATAAGATACTTTTCTAATAAGAATCAGCGCACTGCTTTCTGAATGAACAGTCTTAATAAAACTCAACCAACTGAAGCGAACGCAAGTTTTCTAACAACGACATCTGAGAGATTTCAATTTCTCGAATTTATAACGAATCGATATTGCTATATTGGGTGAATTTCGAGATATCCTTCTGTAGTTTTAAAATTCAACCGTGGCCATTTTCAATGGAAAAAATTGACGACAAGCCGGAAACAAGTCCGTTTATGAATTTCAAAAAATGAAAAGGCTTCGATTCTTTATCGCATACTCAGATGGGACGTAGAGGTCGTTACCCGGTAACATTCAGCAAATGAAAAATGATGTCCTAAGCATAAAAGATCAGAGCTTATTTGTAGATTAAAGTATGCTAGAATTAAAGCTGATCAGACCTCAAATCAGTCACAAGATATTTGAACTGTGATTATACTCCTTTTCATGGAAAAAAGCGGAAATATTTTGAGTACTTTTTACGGTATTTAAAGTAGTAGCTTTCAGGTGCTGTCATTTGTACGAAACTGTGACGCAGTACAATTATTCTACTAAGCCTTCTAAGAAGCACAAAAAAAAAATGTATCACCAAATCGAAAAATTTTAAAAGCGTCTTGTGCCAAAAGCGACTGCAGATTCGTCTTCTCCATAGTCGATTATCTTGTACGCGAGAACTTTTGGATTGGGCTACTCCAGAAAAAAAAATTCTCATAGCCTTACTCAAAAATTTTTGAAAAAGTGTATAGTTTATTGCCCCTATTTTGAGTTTACTTTATCCAACCAACATAAAAAAATTTGCATAGGTAGGTTCCCGACAACAACATCAACATGGTCTGTGTGCTTGGATATTATCCAACAATCAGTGTGACTTTAAGCCAAATATATTTTCTACAAATGCTACTGTATATGTGCACTAGACTATAGACAAATGTGAATAATGATTCTATTAAGAATATAATTTGGTTTTCGACTATGTCTGTCAATAACGTTTTTCATGAAATAGTACTTGATAAGCTAAAATCTGTTGAAATTGATAATAATCTACTTAGCTGATCTGTTTCTTCCGTAGAAAATCATCATCAGTAAGTAAAAGTAAGTGTTAGATTTTTATAGTTCTAGTCTGATTACTTTGGGCGTATTTCAAGAATGTTACATCGTCTTTTGTCTTTAATATTTATTGATAATCAGTCTCAAATAATGATAACATCTAATGTTTTAATACTTTATTTTCTTAATGATTAACTTTAGTTGATATGAACCAAATTTTATGTCATTGACATTCTGAAAAATATTTGAAATTAAACTTATGTTGAGGAAGCCTTTAAAGACTTTTTAATCTATTATTTTATTCTTTGTTCCTTCTTCCACATCCTTTCATTGGTTTTAGAAAATAAAGGAATACTTATTTATTGATGATGTCCTAATAACAAAGTAAAAACCCTAATATGATTTTTATGCTTCATAAAATAAACTTAAATCCTTGTCCCACTTTGTGCAAGTGTTTCTTTGTGCACAATATTTTCGATTGTTCTCAACTTGAAATTCAAGAAGTTTCTTTAATTTAATTCTTTCTGTTCTTTTTTTAACCGGAGTAATCATTGTGTTTATGTGTAATTGTCATGATAAAAGACTATATATATGTTCTACTGATCATTTCTCTTTTATTTACGTCTACTTGACAAACATAAACTCTGTATATTTCGTTCTGAATCCATTCAAATAGATGGAAAATTTCAAAAAATATTCCTATACAGGATGTCATCAATCATTTGAAAAGAAGCATCGCATTTAGATTCAAAATGGTCAATAACTTAGTCATTTCTGAGTTTAACGAAATTTCTCTAGATTCGATCTTATGGCTCTCCAGAAAACTGATATCATACACAAACGCAGTTAATCAGTGAGGCCGGATATGCGTGAATGTGCATAAGACATTTGGAACCAGTGCTAGAACCGGTCCGGTAAACCGATACCTGACAGGATCGGACCGGTTGAAAAAGTCAACCAGGCCGTTAGAGACCAGTATTTAACCGGTTGAAACATCTGCTCTTTTCCACCGTTTCCCACCCTATTCCAGCTCTGCTTGGAACTAAATATGTGTATAAAAAGATATACATATTAATGTGAAAAAGTAGAGAGTAGGGAGATATGAGGTCAGGTATATCTCATGGATATGATAATTAGAACTTGATTGTTTTCTACGGAACTACAGATCTCTATCTCTTCTTTATCAAAAGTTATTCAATAAACAATAAACTCCAGTCTATTTTAAAATAGGTAGGAGTAATGATTTTGTTCAAAACAAATACTGAATTCAACATGCTCTTTTAATGGAGTGCTTAAAAGTTTTAATACAAATTATTCATGTTCTTTTCTCCGCATCTATTACATTGTTCCATTCTAATTATATATCAAACTGTAACTTATTTCATTTGACATATGAACATTTGTGATTTTTTTTATTTGTATATACTATATCGATGACTTAGACACGAAGCGACCAAAATATGTTTCAAACGGTATGAAACTACTGCGGTTATAGTCTAAATTTTACACACAATGTTTTAAGGCGTATATCTAGTTATTAAATGAAGTGAGAGAAAACTTTTTTAAAGATTGTTTAATATACTTAAGAAAAGTGTATAAAAGTTTAACCAATATCTAAACAAGTACGATTACAGTAATAACTTCATTGAAGCTATAGTTTTGAACTCAAATGAATATTCGTTTAATAGAAAATTAAAGAGTAACTTGAGGTCAACTTGTTGAAATAGTTTTCAAAAATTACACTTACCATAAAAAAAATTATTTAATTGTATGAAAGACAGATTCGTTGATTTTTGTTTTCTCATAAATTATTTCCTGAAATAAGTTTAAACGTACTACTGTAAACATCATTTAAAAAACATATACTTATTACAAAAAGAATAACGATAAAGTGTAATTAAAGTATCGGATAGAAAAAAGCACATATTGTCTTCTTTTGTCTCAAAACATATTTTGGCCGCTTCATGTCTAAGTCATCGATATGGTATATACAAATAAAAAGAGAAATCACAAATGTTCATATGTCAAATGAAATAAGTTACAGTTTGATATACAATTAGAATGAAACAATGTACGAAATGCGAAGAAAAGAGCATGAATAGTTTGTCTCAAAACTTTTACGTATCCTGTTGTGCTTATATTTAAACAGTATAGAATGAAATTCTATAAGATACAAATAATTCAAAGTTGAAAAATTAAGAAAGAACAAAATGTTTACTTTTCAGTGTATCGTTGACGATTGTATCAAGAAGACGGTTAACTTCCGTTTTTTCAGATAATAAGTATAGAATGATCGATTCATACATCATCAATTATTCTAACTATTTACTCAAAATCAAGCAAACATAGATTTAATATCAATAAACGTGCCAAAGTGCAATAAAATAGACTCAAATTCTAGTTGTGTTTTAGAAAAGATTTTTTTTCTCTCCGTTAAACGGATGAAACGTGTAGTGAGGATTTGGACGATCCATACGACACAAAAATTCTAGCACGTAAAAATATCATAGATTGTACGTCAAATTGCTCTACTGTCATTTAGAGTATGTATATAATTTTTGTTTAATTTAACAAATACATATGTAAATAAAAAGCTTAAAAATAGGATATTGAATTTTAATCAATCTGACAAAAACGAAGAATTTGGTGACTCAGAAATTATTCCTCCAGCTGATATTTTTCAGTCTAATTTTTCCATTTGAAATAAATTTTATATTCGTTTTTTAGACGATAAAAAAAGTGGAAATCTTCTAAAATATAGTATTCAAGACAAAATTTGTCTTGTGAAAAACCATTTTTATTTGATGAGAAAATACATCACAGTTACCTTAGAAAAATGTTCGCACTATACTAAATAAAAACAAGAATATAGTTTATAACAAATGCTGAATTAAAAATATCGACTTTAGACTATGTAGTTTATTTCAAAATTTCAAAAACGTAGACCGTATTCTGTGGTAATTTCAGTTGAATATTTTCGTTCAATTTTAATTCTAATTTTAATTTTCTATCAAGGAATACTTCATTCATTTGATATGTCTGACTCGAATCTAATTGTAATTTGTTCCACATTTCATCTGGAATATGAAGTTCAACTGTTTGTTCTTGTGTATAATCAAAATTACAGATAAACAGTAGATATTCATCATTTGGATGATAACGAAAATAAGAATAAACTTTTGTTGTATCATATGTTTTTATATTCGCATATTGTAAATCAACAAATTTACTATTTAAACAATGTAAAGATTTGTATTTGTGAACGAGTGAAATGAGATCACCATAAAATTGCCGTAAATTTAATTGATCTGTTGTTAATAGTTTACCATCACATTTACCATCATTATACCAAGCTTGAATTTCTGGAACACTTGAAAAAAAAGAAAATAAAGAATAGATAAAATAGATCGATGTGTTCATTGAAGAAAAATGCAATAGTATACTTATCCCAATAGTCAAATATTGTTGTACGTCCATCGTTACTTTGAAATCCTTTATCAACGTTTGATGCTACTCCCAGTTCTTGTCCAAAATATATCATGAATGGACCATTGTGCATTGTAGCTGTTACAACCATTGCTGGTAAAGCTTTCCATGGTGTATTAGCAAATTGTTTTGAAGCAATTCGAATTTCATCATGATTTTCTAAAAATCTCAACATATTTTTATCCATATTTCGTTGTTGAGTATCATGACCAATTTTTGTTATATCATTAGCATTGCCTAATGTTGTACCCTCAATAAGCCATCTTAATGTATCATATAGGCCTACCTTATCATATAGATAATCAAAATAGCCATATTCAATATATTTCTTATACTCATCAGGACGATAAATTTCACCAATAAATATAATACGACGATCACTATAATCTTTTCGAATATTAGAAATTAACCAATTCCAAAAATCAGCAGGTACCATTTCACACATATCACATCGAAAACCATCAACACCTATAAAAGAGAACACAAAATCTTATAGTTAAAAGATATTTTTAAGTGAAAAGAAATAAAATGATAAGACTCTGATTTAATATACTTTTTTATCTAAATAACAATCTACAAACTTGTTATAGATACTTTTCAGATTTATTCTTACCCTTATCACACCAAAATTTAATTATTTTCAATAATTTATGCCATAATGGTGGAATTGGATCAAAATAACTTCGTCCTGTTTTATAGTCGACTCCATAATTGAGTTTAACGGTTTCAAACCAGTCAGTAATTAACGGTTTAGCATTGAATACATCGTTTCCTGTTGCTCTTACAGGATGTTCAGTGTATATTTCAATTTCGGGTGCATTGATTGATGGTGGTAATTCAATTCCTTGTGGTAATTGAAATTCTTGATCTGTTATGTAATAAAAATCATTTGTTGCACTAAATTCTTTTGAACAATCATCTGAGGAGCCAAAATTATCTTCAGGACAACGATCAGAATAATATTGTCTTGCAACATGATTCGGTATAAAATCAATTAAAACATTTAAACCATTTTCGTGAGAACGTTTAACTAATTGTTCAAATTCAGACATACGTTGATCAATATTTACAGCTAAATCAGGATTTATATCGTAATAGTCTTTGACAGCATAAGGAGAACCGGCTAAACCTTTGACGATATAAGGATTATCTTTTCGAATGCCATATGAAGAATAATCGGTCATCAAGGCATGTTCAATTACACCAGTATACCTGAAAAAAAATCATATTTTAAAAATAAGATGAATTTATTTCTCAAAATTTAAATTGATATTTTAGATACATACCATACATGTGTATAACCGAATTGTTTTAATTCTTTTAATACATTATTGTTAATATCATTTAATTTTCCTACGCCATTTTCATCAATAGTACCATAAAATTTATTTGTTAAATTTCTATTACCAAATAAACGTGTTAAAATTTGATAAATAATTAATTTATGATCTTTATTACACGCAGATGGATGATTATCTGGCATTGTTGATGACTGAATAGAATAAAAAAAATAAAAAATAAATTTGTTTTAAAGATAAAAAAGAGATAACAATTAGAGTCAAAAATATAAATCTGAAATTCAGAAAACATCTTGTTTTCGATATACATTAGGTTGAATCTCATTTTTTTCATGCTTTAAAACAATAAAATTTAATCATATTTAAGAAAATATTGTTATTTTTAATTATTTATTTATGCTGTTAACTTATTTTTGTACATGCAAAACATGATCAATCAACTCGTATACTTACATAGCGTGTAAACGATTTTCTATGTAAATATTTTGGAAACAAATGGATTTTGAAAAACTGACATTCGAATACAAATCTAGGCCAGTACAAAACTATTTTCATAATTTTTATGATCAAATAATTGTTTGAAACACTTATCTGTCACACTTTTGGATTCCAGTCAAAATTTTGCTTTAACATAGTTCATTAGCCAGTCAAAATTTCATAAAAACTGCATAAAAAACCTATCATCTCATCTAAAACTCATAAGAATATTATCTAAACAAATTTCGATTTTTTTTCTTTTCACTATCACATAGTTTTTCTTCAATATTCATCATTAGCCATTTTTAGAACGAAATCAAAGCTCTAAACTTTAAATATTTAAAAAGTTCAAGAGAGAACGAGAGAATGGAATATCAGTAGTAGATGATGTTCTCTATAAATGTATTACAAGAAAATTAATTGTATACAATCATTTGAAAGAAAACGTTTCTTTATTCTATCTTATATTACAGAGGGAAAGAGAGCTATACAGGTTTTCTACCAGTAATAGATAAACTATATGAGATACAGCTAAATATTATTAAGTTCGATTTTCCATTTTTTCGATATACACTTGTTTGTTCATAAGCGAAAAGTCTCAATTTTTCTATTGTATACGCCACTCCTCTATGTGAGAATACATATGAATTTGAAACACTTCTCTTCTCTTTTTTTTTTCGATTATAATTCCATTTTCTTAAAAGTGAAATGTTGATATGCCTCACAGACTAATTCATTTCATCGTTGTCGTTGAGTTTTTGTTTACAAAAAAACACGTATACACAAAAGAAATCATTTCAAGTGCATAATGTCGTTTCAAGACGAAAAAAAATTTTTCGTTGTGTGTGGAATGAAAATTATTTTTCATCAAACAAAAAGAAAAAATCAATTTTGTTTTGTTTGGAGAAATACTTGGAAGAAATGTGACAACGACAATAGAAAGCTTTTGAAATAACATTAAAAAGAGAGAAACTGATGAAAATGAAAAAGGGTTTTTTTTTGAAAAAAGAAGAAATAGTACCATCGACGACATTTAAAAGTCTTTAAAATCAAATACATTTGAGTTGTTTTTACTTTTAATGCAGAGAGCGATATATCTCGCTAGACATATTCAAGTATGTTTTATGTGTGTGTGTTTGTGTGTATGAATATTTAAAAATGATAGAAAATAATTAGCCCTTAGGGGATATGACAAAGAAATTATTATATTCACTATTCATTTATGTATACACACTCTTATAGTTGCTTGCTCATCTTATTTAAATGTTGAAGAACAAAGTAAATTGGTGAGTTGATGGAGAGTTTGAATATGAAACTCATCACATATATAATTCAAACGTCTTCTTAAACAATCTGACCTAAGGTACCTTATTCAGAGAGTGAATATAGACAAATGAACGTAAATGGTAAGCAAAAACTATTTTCTTCTCTCTATTAGATTCTCAAAACAGTTAACAGTTTAAAACGTGTAATGTAGAACAAAAAAATTGGTCATTGAAGTTCGTATCATCTACAGTACTGAACAGTACTAATATTCCAAATGAACTATCATCGATCGTGAAAAATTGATGTAAATCCATCATGTAGCCAATAGAAGAAGGTAAGATTATGACAAAAACTCAGTATAGTATTAAAATAAAGAAAAATGATTTTCAATAAGTACACAAAGTTAGACTTTCTAAAGAAGTACTGTAACTGTCTATAGGAATCCACTGAATATCTGTTAACCTAATTAGTAATCTTAGTTATTAGTAAATTAATTGGTAACCTAATTAGTTTAACTCTTTAAAGTTACTAGCACTGTTTACATTCAATTCATTTTATAACTATATTTCTTTTCTTGTCAATGTTGACACAGAAAGGTAGAACTCTTGAAATGAAATTAAAAGTAGAAAAAAAAGTTCAATGTCTTGTTGTATTTTCAATCTGATTACATTGAATACTTAAAAGTGTGTGTTTGTGTGTATGTTGGTACATAAAATCAAAAAAAAATTTCATAGATGTCTATTGTTAATAGAGCTTGTTAGTGCAGAATATGTACATACATATATCTTTGACTTCTTATTCTTCTCTTCTTATGAAAAACAAAATCATGCTGCGTATACTAACTAGAAGTACTATTACTTTTATTCATCAAAAAAATGAATTAAAAAACCAAGTATTTCCATTAGAATCAAAAAATAAAAACGTTGTTGAAAATTCGTTATATTCAAAGATCCCGATCGTAGGAGATGTTAGCTTCTTCCGAAACTTTCTCACTTTCCGTCGCTGAAAATGTAACATTGGCGAAAAAAACGATTTTTGCCAAAGTTTTGTGTTCATTTCTGCGTAGATCTTTAAAGAGGAGTGCATCTTTTTTGACTGCGCGAAAGTCTCTAAGCATTTTACGAGAGGTTAGTTAATTTTTAAAATTTTTTAGAAGCTTTCGTTGTATTGTAGCTCTCCTCTTAACCAAAAAAAAAAATCAGGATTCCTAATTACACTTCAATAGTTTTCGTTTGATCAATCATCCGATCTAGACTTCTAAATCTGCCTAATATTTATGCTCTAGTCACATTCTCCTGTTCATAACGTAGAAGGTGGGTCCCCCCGAAAAATGATCCCAGTATAAATAGCAAAGAAATACGTTTGTTTTGAATTCTCTTAAATATCTTGTATAATACAACGTTTTAATCGATTAATATCAGTCTAAATATTCATGCTTGTGCATTTGTCGAACATCATTGTTCTGTCATAAATACAACGGAAAATTGACAGTCAGAATAATAATTAAATGTCACTAACACCTGCTCGTATTATTATTATTACTTTCTCTATCTCACCATCACACAAAGTCGTTTGAAGAAGCACCTATTCGAACGAAAACGAGAACTATAGAATAAAACAGTTATAGAGAGAGGTAGATATATAATAGAGTAGGAGAGTAGAACTAATAAATCGAATAATATAAGGTCTATATATGATACAGTTTCAAAATATATGTTTCTCTAGCTATCTATTATTCTTTCTTTTTTCTTCGGTCTTCTCTTTTATTTTATATACACCAATCAAGAACGCAAAAATAGAACATGTATAAAAAAAAGAACCCATATGAAGAAAAGGACAAAAAAAAAAGCATATGAATGTTATATATAATATTATGGACAACAAGAAAGAAAAGTATACCGTAAAAACTGTATGATAGCAGAAACTCACGATAGTGACAAAGAACCTTGTCATACATTCACACACACAAAGAGAGAGACAGAGAAAGAAAGAGCGTCAATCTAGACATATAGCGAAGACAGAGCAAAGAGAAAAACAGAACTTTTTTTGAATTCCTAAAGGTAAGGTGTATGTATAGGAAAAGAGAGAGAGAAAGAGAGAGAGAGAGAGAGAGAGAGAGACTATAAAGAAATCATCATTACAGTTATCGTTATTGTCAGAGGACAAAATTTATTTCCTTTCTTCTGTATGACTATTATGAAAGCATCTCGATTTTTTTCTGTTTCTCTTCTGTATACGGATAAAAATATATCTTGAAGCCAATACTTTCTTTCTTTTACTTTTTTGGTGGTACAAAATAACACACACACATACATAGTTACACACGCTGTTCAATATTTTTTATGAAGAAATAGAGAAGAATTTTACCTTTCACGGCTAGATGGAATCCGAAGCAGACACACTTCCATCCCAGTACTATAACGACATATTGTTTACGATTACGAAAGAATTATTATTACTATTATTCTAATTGTTCTTTCTGTACAGCTGATGATTATTCTGTTAATAGCACACATTATTTTCCATACGAACAAGCCATATTGAATAATGAGAGAAGAAATGTCAAGATAGAAGAATTTTTATATCATGTCTTGGTTTTACGCACATGATATTTCTCAAAACAACATCCTAGCAAAATAAACATGGCCATATAAACGTGAGTAATGTTGAGTTTCGACAATGCATCTAGTTTTATTGTTGTTAATACAGTAATCTTCGAAGTTTATTTAACAGACTAATTAAGGTTCGTTAATTTTCTTAATTCCATTCATAAAACCTAATATAAAGTCTAACTAATTTTGTTCTACCTTTCGCACAAATACTCTTTTCCTGTTATTTTATTGTTCTTTTTCTCATTTACTGTCTCTTTATATAAAGAACTTGACTAGTTGACAACGTATTAATCTCACAACTTTCAAGGGTTAATATTAATAATCAATCTTTCTTTTTAGCAATTTTGATGCAAAGAAAAAAAGAAAAAAAATTTTTATGCTTACTTTGAACAGACATTTGTAAACGTTGAATGTCAACGACTGAAACTCCCATCAAAACACACTTCTGGGTAGCATTTTGAATAGAAAATGTCATTTTTCGAGGATCACTAATTGAATTGTTAATTTTGACTTAAATGCGAGACATCAGACACTACAAAAAATTTTCAATTGAACAACATTCTTTTGCATCGTAGTAAGATCTAACTTTAGAAACAAAATTTTTCTTATATTTTTTCAGATTTTCAGAATTGGAGAAAATTTCTACTAAAGTTTTTGCTTGAAAATGACAAGAAAAGTGGCAGATAGTCCGACCATTGGAATTCTTTTTTGTCCTTGGTCAAAACGTTTGTACCAATTATTAATAAGAATTGTGTCTTGCTACAAAAAACGAAATGGAAGAAAGAATAAATTCACAATTTTATTAAGAAGTAATAAAATGAGACATTTAACTATGAAATGTTTTTCTTCTTCGTTTTATTATTATTATACGTATATAGTTGCAGCATTGTATATATATGCGTCTCTATGATGGTGATGTGTAGAGTTTAATATCCATTCAGTATATTTGCTGATTGGATAAAGAAGAAGAACGTTTCATTTTGAAGGTGGAATAGAATTAAGTATGCTCTTTCTTTCATCTGGTCAAGTGGTAGTAACGGTTGTTTTTTTAAAAAAAAAAGAAAGTAAAAAAAAAATTATAGAGAAAAAAACGAAAAAAGAAATTCAGTGTGCGTTTAGTGTCCTTCGACTCCTGTTTAGTGCGTACATTCCGCAACAAAAAATCTATATTGATTTTTTCCTTCTTTATGTTCTGTTTTTGCACATTAAAAATGTTTTACGTAGAATTCTGTTAAGTAGGTGACATGTCGATAGTGTGATACAATAGCCAGGTTAGCATTTAGTAGAAAAGCAACTCAATCTTACACACCGTCTTTTCTTTTAGGCTAGTCATTATTCTTCGATCCAATATCAACTAGTTTTATTTCCTTTTCTTTTCTTCTCTTTTAAATGGCTCTTCACCTACACACTATAACATTTAACTAACATGTGTTACTAGGAAAAACGTGTTTGATTCAGTGATTTTGAACGTGAATATTTTTAGTTTTTTGAATTAAAACGTTTGATCTTTTAAAAAGAACTAGCAATAACACCTAATTACGGTTCACTAGACAGAAACAGGTTATCTTTAAAGACTTTCGTAACTAACGATAGACTCAGCCCCTCGCAACTTCAGAAGGCATTTTCTTGAATAACTGTTCAATCATCTAAGAACTTTTTAAATATAAAGCAGTCTGTTCTTGTAATATGTGCCTAATCAACTATTCACTGATATCTGTGTAGCAACCTAATGGTTAGAAAAAAATTGATTTATGAGACAAGAATTGGTCTTGTAAACCTAAATTATTGACAAAGTAAAAAAGCATTTGCTTATTCGAACAGAAATTCATATATCTAATTTTCTGTCTTAAGCCAAAACTGCAGTTTTGTACTCGATTCATTGATAGAATTTTGATCTGTTCACCGAAATATGAATGCTCTGCTAGTTATTAACTTCACAATGGTTGTACAATCACTATTCGGAAATATTTGAATGAAACTACAAAATAAATGAGTAGTTTTCAGAGAGATTTCATGAAAAACTAGCAATATTTTACACAATTTTTCATGGTTTCCATCAGGATGACTTTTCATAACAGTTTCTTTAAAAGAAACGAAAAAATACTTTACAATATAGCTGGATTTATTCTATCTAATACGACGACAGAACGAAAAGATCCTGCTATTAGTACGTAAAAAAACCTAAATTTGAATTATTTCTGATTTGAAAAGCTTTTGATTATTAGCTAAACTTGAATTCCTTTCATGCGAACATTTTTTTATCCGTCACATTATTGTTCAAGTACGAGAAATTTTACAAGAAGTTTTTTTTATGTATATTTTTTTTTTCTATTTCAGACAAAAAAACTATACTCGATCTTGACAATGTAAACATTATAGATAGAAACTCGACTTTGCGTTCACAAACTATTTATATATTTTCTTTTACTCAAATAGTTACATTACACTCTAATCACCCTGTCAGTTTATTGTAATTATTTTCAACAAATTAAGATAAGCTCTAATTTGACTTTGTAAACATTAATCCTAAAACTCGTGTTATTTGTTTTCCGATTTTTCTTTCCTTTTTCTTTCCATACCCTCGTTTTCACGTGTGTACGAAGGCATTCGGAAACAGAAAAAGGCAAAAAAAAAAATAAATACATTATGTACAATAAACGTGTTACAATATAAAGCAAAATTCGTAAAAAAGAAAAAGAAACAAAATAAAAAAAAAAACGAGTTGTACATGCTCTGAGACAAAGATGCGTAATAGTGATGTAATTAATCTGTTATTTTTCCATAGTGTGTGAGTATATGTCTCGAATGAAGAGGAAAGTGTCAGAGGAAAAGAGAGCAAGAAGAAGAAGGAGAAATGTTTATTTCTTTTTACAAAATAGTTTCAAGTCATTGAACAATTTCATATTTCAATTTATGAAAATGCTTATTTATTATTATTTTTTTAGATCTTAATTCTAGAGATAAAAAAAGAATTGCCTCTGCACGGTCGGATACTTGGGCATATATGTTGCTAAATTAATTTTCATATTGCACATTATCCGGCCATATGGTGGCTTCGTGAAAATTCAATCTCAAAACAAGAGAGATCAATACGACAAGGTCGTGTGTCCGGGGCAATGTGTCGAAAGAAATAATTCATATTGCACTGACATCGATCTCGTGGATATTGTATCAAACTTCTCCAATAAATTGATTATCCAACAATAGAAACACTTCTGCTATCAAACAATTAACCTATTTCAACCAATACGCTATGGTCTTTTTCTATCTTCTCTCACGATTATCTCTCAAAGTTTTTCTGTCATATAGTTAAGAACAAAACTACTTTTATGTCGTTTCTTTTATTTTTGAGTAAAACTAAAATTTCTTTAACTGTTATTAAAAACGAGTAATAATAAAGAGTATGATTATAAAACCAGTGATCAGTTTTTTTCACACATGCAAGAGGTTCTAAAGAGTTTTCATGCTTTTTTCTTTAACCCTTTGAGTGCCGGTTTTTTATTTTTTTAAATTGTACATAATTTTGTTCATTCATATTCAAAAATTATAAGAAATGTAAAAAAAGTTGATATATATAGATACTGAAGGTACAAAGTTTAATTTTGGAAAAGTTTGGAAAAATATAGAAATTTCAAATTGACATAGGTCGTTCCTTGAGATATTATTTAGTTTCCAAGAAAAAGCCCCTGGTACCTATAGATACCGCCGAGACTCAAAGGGTTAAAGAATAAAAAAACAATTTGTTTTAACTATTTAAGATTAAAATTTGAGCACGTTAAAATAAAGCATTTACACATTTGAAACTTAACTTCATGCAGAATGTTTAAAAAAAGCATGTCAGATGCGAATAATTCAAAGATTGATCCAATTAAAACAGAACAGTCCATCTAACATTAGTTTTGTGATTGTAACATGCTCTTTTTCGTAGTTTATGTTTCAATTTTTAATATAATTATAGAAAAATAAAAACAATAATTTAATCATTTATTTTATTTTAACACATACAATGAACACTGAACAAATAGAAATATGTTAAAAACCAGTTAAAAACTAACAAGATGACAGATATTTATTCACAACTATTAGATAAATTACACGTTATAAGTATCATAAAGCAATTTCGTCTTTAGAAAAATAAAAAACCAACATATGAATAAATGAGATTTGAATTCGTCTCGATTTTCAAATTCAATACAATTATATTTTGATTAAAAAAAATCATCTTGTTTTCTATTTATTGTTTGTTACGTGCAAACACAAGATATTATTTTCAAACAATGTCAACTGAAAGATAAGGAAGGTTATCCAAAGTTGATTAGTGCTTTTCTTTCAATTTACATTACTGTCACTCTCTTAAAACATTTCACAAAAGAGTGAAGAATCGTTGACACCATCTGTGTACAGTTCCACAAAGAGAAAAAAGTCATAAAACCTAATAATATATACAACACGGTTCAAAAATAAGCGTATATACAAAATATTTATTTAAATAGACAAGAAAAGAAAAGAAAAATAGACTCCTGATTATATAGATCAAAGAGAAAAGAAACAAAACTATATGTGAACATTGGAAATAGAGATATGGCTAGAAGAAAAGAAAACTAAACTGTGAAATGTATGGGCGTAATATATTAATGGAAATAATGATATTTTTTGAAAAATATATATTTCATTTAATTTCCACAATCTCCATAGTTTTTATTCCATTGAACATATTTATCTAATGTGTCTGGTGAAACACTTTGACGAATTTTTTTTAATGATTCAAGAAAATCTTGTATAGATATTGGTCGAATTCGTTGTAAACTCAATTTTTTTAAGTCTTCTATACATAATTCTCGCACGGGACCCATCGCTGCATCTTTTGCTAATGCCGTTAAATCACTGCCAGAATAATTATCTGTTTGACTACATAAAGAAAAATAACAAAATTATTTTTATTTAAAACTAGTATACCTCTATCTATGTATAACTCAAAGATACATTTTAAACCACTGAGGAAACACAGTTCTCTTTGACTCAGTAAAGTAGATTTATTGATCTCCATATAAAGAGGAATATTAGTTTTATTATAGCGTTACTCGTTTTTTGGATCAGCTAACTTGATCTAATGAGTCGATCCGGGTTTCCGATTAGGGTGGGGAAGTAGGAGACATCACCACCCTAAATTTCGGCACTGTCTGTCACATTTTTGAAATTTTGTCCTGCCTAAAATTTATCTAACTTTTTATTACCCTTTATTTAACGTTATAAAAGTTCTTTTCATTTTACAAATGTTTTACTTGTTTAGAAAAATCTGTCTGCCAACTTTTTAAAAAGACTGTCTGTCATAACAATCTCCCCACCCTGATTAAAAACAATCGAAAATCCTGGAGTCGATTATAAATTCTTTTTATAAGACATTCAACTAGCACTTTACCTTGCAATGTAATCTATATCATCTGATGTTAAATTGTGTTCTGTTCCTAATAAATTCTTTAATAACTCTGTTCGTGTTGTTTTATCTGGCAATTGAACATAAATTCTTCTAGGAAGACGTCTATATGTATGAACAAAGAGAAAAATATTTTTTGCAATTCTTAAAATAAAGTTTTAAACTATCATTACCTTAGTGCGGCATTATCTAGTTCAAATGGACGATTTGTTGCTGCTAATACGAGTATACGATCATCACTATTTGTTTGAACCTGGACAGAGCGAAATATGAGCAAAATTATTCATACTATAATTGATATATTCAACGTACTCCATCGAATTGTACTAAAAATTCTGTTTTTAATCTTCTCATTGCATCATGTTCAGATTCTTTTCTTTCACTTAATAATGAATCAATTTCATCTAAATAGTTCAAATTTAAATATAGATTAATAAATTCGAATATTTATAAATTCATACCAACAAATATGATCGATGGTTGAAGTTCACGAGCAGCCGTAAAGAGCGTACGAACTAGTCTTTCACCTTCTCCAATCTAAATTAAATATAAAACAAATAAATTATGATAACAAGTATTCGATCATTATTTTAATAAATACATATTTTGATGTTAAACTTGATGCGCTAATATTGAAAAATTTTGCTTTTGCTTCACTGGCCACGGCCTTTGCCTTAATTATTTTAAAACATAGACAAAATATATACAGAATATATTACAATTGATCGAACTATCTTACAAGCATTGTTTTTCCATTTCCCGGTGGGCCAAATAATAATATTCCTCGTACAGGCGTTCGAAGACCAGTAAACAACTTCGATCAAACAGATAGCAATAGAAATTACAAAAATCATGAAAAAAGTTTAGAAATTCTTACATCAGGTCTCAATACGGGAAGAATAACGACCTCCTCTAATGCACGTTTAGCACATTCTTGACCAGCTATAATAAAGAGAAATATAAAATTTTTTTTGTATTTTCTCGCTTATTGTACACATATCACCTACAGATATCAGCAAATTTGACGTTTGGTTTATCTTGCACTATTTCATCGAGAATTTGATTAATCAGATTACGTTCCGCAATGGGCGTTTTTAGTAGTGCAGATTTCTGTGAAGCACCTGCTGCTTTTGAGACATCATTACCGGATGTATTATGCGGTTTCGCCGATGGAATTATCTTCTTTTCTGTCTAGAACGAAAAAGAAAGAAGTTAAATCAATTTTTAGAACTGACAGTAAAACCATTTAGAGAATAGTACAAAAAATTCATTCTATCTGAACTACTTTTATAATTGTAAATGGTAAAATAATCAAAACAGAATTCTCGTCTTAAATTCTTTCTAGTACTACGTACGTTTTAATACGTTCTTAACAAACTGCACGTAAAATTTGAAAAATTATAAAAATAATAATTAATTAATAACTAGGGGCTCGTATCACGAAAAAAAGTTGATGATTTGTTTACTTTTTAAAAGTCGTTGACAACCGTGACAAACTTGGGACAAAAACCCGCAGAATAACGAAATGTTTATTTTCTAATCCTTAGAGTGTGTTTTCGTCGAGCCGTATCGTTAAATACCTGAGCTATTCGAAAGTGCGTCAAAGACTCAAGTCTGACTTAAGTTTTCGATCTTAACTTTAAGACTACGTTTCCCATGACTTAAGTTTTTTTGTGATACAACCCCTAGGTTTGTTACTCATTATTTCTTCTTCATGCAATCAAATAGTTAATGCGTATGTACTCTAACAGAGTCCGTTATGGAAGCAAATTTCTCTGGAATGTACACATCATCTTCACATTTAAGAATAAATTTTTGAACTAGTTTATAAAAAAACAATTTGATTAAATTGTGATTTACTTCGCATAACTCAAAGTACATCCCAATGGGCTGAATGCACCCTGAATGGACTCTGTCATATACTACTAGTCACTGTCTGTTTTGTTGTTATTATTGCAGTGCTCTTTTTAGTATACGTTTTCTTTCTAATTTTTGACTAAACTCAGAAACATTTGAAACTCACATCTCTATTTGAAGAAGAAGAGCAATCTCTTTGCGACCACTAAGCATGTTCTTACACGAAGAGGTGTGTTCAAATCTTTTGTTGGTAGTTGAATTTTTGTATTGACAACATGTTCACCCGAAGAATTATTTAATGGCTGATTATTATCGTTCGTTTTTAGAATTGTTTCTGAAAATAAAAACGGATATTTGTAAGAAGATCAAAATAGATTCAACTATGTGACAAACTTACCCAGCTTTTTAACTCGTTCGCATACCATCTCAAGATTCTTGCGCATCTTATTTTGAAGAGCAATAGCCCTTTCATCTACAATATGTATTGCTATATAATTATAACATTAATGCTTGATTATCAGATCGTACCTTTCGAATCGCAAGTAATATTAACAGCCTTTTTCAACACTTCTATACCTTCTTTATACAAGGCTATTGCTGCCTCATGATTTTCTACAACAAAATGGCAAGAAAACAAATAATGCTGCAAGTTACAATTCAAACTAAATAAAGAGATACCAGATTTTTCATCGTATTCAATTGCTGTATGAAGATATTGAGCAGCACGAGCCTGATATTTTTTTTGTAAGTTGTAATTATCCATACGAGATATTGTGCAAGAAACACCCGAAGTTCGTTTCTAAAACGGAAAGCTATCTTATAGTTTTCAAAATTTGAGCAATTTCAAATCTGAAACGTCAGTTGAAGTCTAATCTTATAGATGCGAAAGTATTATTTAAGTAGTCAACGGCACCTCTTGAAAGAAGTTCTGAGACGCAAATTCAAAACAGATAGAAGAACCAGCATATTAATGAGAATTGTGAAAGCTACAGCTGTTTTTATGACGTAAATATTAAGAACGAATAAAGAATCAGAATCGCCGACAACAGTAATTATGAGTTGTATTTTTTCTCTATAGCAGCAAAAAAAAGAAATTCTATCCCGTGTCATTCACTCAAGAGATGTGAATAGATTTCAAGCATCCAGTGTTGTGTTGAATTTATTCGTTTCATCCAGGAAAATTACGCAAAAGAAAAACAAGATAGCAGACAATGACTCACCCCTTTAAATGATTCATGACGATCATACGGCAAGTTACGGGCAAATCAAATGAACAAAGTTCAAACATTGATGCCTATCTAATGCTTCTTTAAAAATGAATAGCGTGGTGGTTTTACATAAATTCTTACTTCTAAAATGACAAACAATAAAGATCAAATAGACTGTAAAAAAACCGGACACTTTAATCGTGTTAACCTGATGGTTTAAACATCAAAATCTGACGCTCTTTTTAACCTGACGTTCCAAACTAGCATTTTAATCGTACCAGTTTCACACTTTTTTCAACCTAACGATTCGAACGCCAGATGAACATGACGTTTTAACCGTTTGGTTGGGATGTTTTAAACCTCTGTATGATTTTGTATTATACTGGGCGGTATTTGAGTTTGAAAAGATACACTTTACTAACATAAATAAAAGAATGGTGGAAGGAAATGTCTTTCATTCATTCATTTCTCTGGGAAATTTCTGATATGTAGACTGATGCATATAATGACTCAGTTTATGTACTTTGCACACATGTTAGCTGGACTGAATTTATTGAATTTGTATTTTAAATTAAATAAAAATTCTAATTAAGAACTCCTTGCCGTTCTCGATTTTTTCAAGGAATTCGTCGTTTTTGAGTTAAATACATTATTGTGAGAAAGATGCCTGTGAAATGTAAAATATATTTATTTCAAAAATGACGGATTTCTTCAAAAAATCGAGAACGACAAAGAGTTTCTCAATTAGAATTTTCATTTAATTTAAAATATTAAATACTTATCAAATTATTGATATTTTCCCTGTAATGTTTATTAATTTTTTTATTGTTGTTGTTTTCTTTATAAAGTTATATTCACAACAGTAAGCTTGTTGTAATAAAAATACAGAAGTTTTTTTATACTCAGATTTGTTTGTAAATCGGGCCTAGCAAAAGTATCTGTGTACAAGCCTCTAATATCAAGTCTAAAGTCGCTATAAAAGAACCAGTAGTTTCCTCATATTTTACCTTGTGACATTTCTCAGATTATCCTTTGGCATGTGTACTCTAAGGATCAGCGATCCGACACGTTGCTATTCTTTCTAGGGATCCGCAAACTAATCCGAGAGTTACAAAATGTGTAAAACGATCATCCCTGCTTGGCAATTAAGGTGGTAAATTCCTCTGTTTTGCATCTAATTTCTTTGAACATTTCGAAAAAAGCTAATTTAATATTTATTTTGTGATTAGCAACCTTCATTGGAGCAGTATGTAACACATTGCTTCCACTGATAAATTTTTATGGACTTTCATTGAAAACTCCAATTTCAGTTCCAGTTCTTTCTTCTGTGAAAATAACGTTAAGCATAAAAGAATAATTCATTTTATTAATAATATATTTATTAATAAAATATAAATATTATATATATTTATTTTATTAATAATAATTTATCTTATTTTATTTATATTATTTTTTATTTTTTGATAAGAAAAACCTGACACTTAAGCCGTGAGGATACACAACCTGGCGGTTTAAGCGTCGAGTTTTTTTTGTTTACTCCGTCGTAGATAACTCATCCGACCTGACATTTTTCCCGTCAGGTTGCGCAACCTAACAGAGAGTTGCGCAACCTTTTCTCAAAAAGTGTAAGAGCTAGAAACTTCATTCTTGCGCCATTCGACACCGCTCGCCATATTCTACTTTCGATATAAAAATGAAGGTATATGGTTAAAGATTAAAGAACTTTTAGAATCGTTTTTCGGCGCGTGAAAAAGAATCTTTCCAAAGAGCTTTCGATCTCTCAATAATTGTGTTTTATCGTCGTGACGCTGTAACACTCGTTTTTCCCAACAAAGTTTGAAGCACTAAACATTGCTCAAAGGATTTCATTTTCAAATCAGACTTAGTTTTAGGCATATAATATAGACTAACGTGAAAATAAAGCTGAAAAAATGTTTTCATTTTCTTAGAATTGTGTGAGAATCTTAAAACTTAAAACTTTATTAAAAAGCTTGTTTTGAGCCTAAACTTCAAAAGAAACATACCATCTTGTAGAGAATCGAATCCTCTATCGATTAGTGTGGCCTTCCATTTTTATTAGGAAACGTGTCTAGGTGAGGAAATCGAAAATACAGTTTTCAAAAAATATAAAACTGGATTTTTGATGCAAAAATTTAACTTTTTTCAAAAACTAATGTGAGATTCGTAATCAGCGCCAAAAACTGCATCTAGTGATATGCTCCTTTTAATTCTACTCTAAAGTAATTTTTTCAAAAACTTGATCAGCGAAGTCTCGAGTTACGTGGACAAGTTGACTAGTCACATCGAAAGGACAACAGCTACTTCATTGATTTTTTCGAACGACTTTCTTTTTCTTGGCTCATTCATAAAGCAGTTTATGTCTCGGTAGCTACAACAACAACAACAAAATAACAGGTGCGTTTTCCATTTTTTATGAATACAAAAATTATGCTATGTACAACCCAATTGCAACAAGAATTTCAAAAATAAAAAACAAGTTAAAAGTTAAAAATATAAATCTCTAGTTATTAAATAAAGCATTTTTATCAAAATTGAAATCTGTGGTTGTGCTATTTACATTCAGTTAAATATTTTGATTATATATTACCCATTGATTCTTGCGCAGAGCGATAAACACATCAATATTTGCCATCCTCTTTCTGCGCTGGACTAATTGTAAAAATGTCTGTTGTTGGAGGTATTGTTCTCTACAAGAAACAGACGTCAAGTAACAAGAGCAAGAAAATATGAATTTTATAATGGTAAATATTTTAATAATAAGTGTTACGTGAACTTAAACAGAAATATTAATTTCGAAGTCGAGACTTTGCTTCTGTGCTCTCTCTATCATACAAGAATATTAGGACCTGATCAGTTCTACTCTGATTCTAAAATAGTAGTATAGTCTAGTCTTCCCATTAGTCTGCAATGTGTTAATAACTATGTCAAATAATTAATCATGCACTTGTTAAATATAGCATAATAGCCCCTCATAAATAATTCATATGATTAAATGTAACTAAATATCGTGCAAAGAAAAAAAAACCCATAACCACGCATAATACCAAAGAAAAGTTAGATTTAATACCATGTTGAATTTCCAGTATTACTCATCTCTGTAAAATTAAAATTAAAAATTGCTAAAATAGTATTGAAATATCATCCCGACTAGATGTTGTGAACTATTCACAGGTTACTCAACTATACATACAATTTTCTCTAAAATAACATTGTGCGATGTAATATCGGAAAATGTTTCTTTCCACGCCTGTCGTTCCTAAATGAAATTAAATAATTCATTTATAAAATATCTTTCCAAAACTAGATTAACAAACTTCTTCATCCATTCGTTGATATTCTTGATATTCAGAATAATATTTTGGTTTTGTTATTCCAAAGAACCATGCTAGTTTTTCTCCAGCTACATCACAAACTAAATCAGAGAAAGAATTTTATCAACAATATTTCACATTTGTCTATAATTTATATTTACGTACCTTCATAACATTTCTTTGCTGATACTTTTGTATAATACCAAATATATGGTAACCATTGAAGTTGACTCTGAAGAAACAGAAAAATTTTAAACTGTTCTATTTGAAAAGCAATAATAACAAACTGTGTCTATTGATGGTTCTGTTGACGGATGTTGGGAAACTGTGTGATCTAAGTCACTATCATCACTGTCATCATCGTCATCAACGATGCCGTCACTACAATAAATACGTTGCTTTATCAAATCATTATTCTCGACTGATACATGAACGTCCGTATCTGCAGCTGATGTTTTAATATTTGTCATTTTTAAATTTCTACAAAAGAAAAAACACGAATTTTCATACAATAATTCACTCAATAATTAAAAAGCATTCCATTTAATTCGAATTATCTCAAAAATGTAATAATAATTGCAACTATTGTGAACTTCATACCTTTATTTGTTTGATATTTCGACCTTCAACCAGACATTTTCAAAACCATAGATAGAATAACTGTACAAATAATGAAAACAACTACTTTCTTTCACTATCCTTACTACGAAATAAAATAGAACGAAAAAGAGAAAATTCCAGGACTAGAACGATACTTTATTTATATATGCGCATATTTAAAAAGAAATTACACTCTTAGAATAACATAAATATCGATTATTAGTTAAAGAATTACTTTTGATTAGATCGGAAGCACCAGTTCTAAATAGAACAGATCAATCAGTTCTTCTTTATGTCTTTCCAGACGGTCTAGAGAAAATGAAAACAATGGAGATGGAAGACTCATACCACCAGAAAGAGTCAGTTAATAAAATACTTCAACATCATCGTATAGATTATAGATAATGATGTCACTGTTTTTTTCTATATATGAATATATAAAGAAAGTATCGTCCTAGTCTTAGAATTTTCTTTTTCGTCCTATTTTATAGTGAAAGAAAGTAGTTGTTTTCATTATTTGTACAGTTATTCTGTCTATGGTTTTGAAAATGACCGGTTAAAAGTCGAAATATCAAACAAATTAAAGTATGAAGTTCAAAACATCTGTAATTATTATCATATTTTTGACTCGAAAGTCGTTGCCATCGTACAGACATTCCTAATTATCTGGAGTCAAATTTAAGTAAAATAAAATTTAACAATTTATCTAGAAAACAATAACAACAAATAACAAGAAATACATGAAGAACTCGAACAATTGACAACAATAAAAAATATATGATGATTCTGCAAGACAAATACAGAAAAAAAAATAAATTGAAACATTGTCAATGTCTCATAAAAAAATTCGAACAAACACACAAAAAAATCATCAGTTTATTAGTCAACAATCAAAAAGACAAAGATAGCGGAAATAACATGTGAAAATACGATCTGATGATCAAATCGTTATTCCAGAAACAACTAATAAAAAGCATCTTGAGTACAAAAACAATTTACTTGGCAAATTTACGTAATGTTATTGTGTTCACAAATACTTTAAAAGATGTAATAAAAGTGTAACTTCAAAATGTTCCATTGAATCAACATTTCTGAAACCGTGACGTTCATTTGGGTATACCTGAATATAAAGATAACAACAGTTTCATAGAAAATTATTCAGAACATTTTTTGTTCAATAGCTGATCAGTTCAAATAAATAGAAATACAAAAGATATGAAATACATCAAACATATTCATACTTTTAAAATGTAGGGTTTTAAATATTGAACACATTTGTTAATCAATGCTTTCGTATGAGAAAAATGAACATTTTCGTCATTTAAACCATGAACAATGATTAAACGATTTTCCCTGAAACAAAACAAACAAACTATTTACGAAAAATAAATAAATAAACATAGTTCAACATACTCGGCAGGAAATAATGACACGTAATTTAAAACACTTGACTCCAAATACTGTTGTTCATTCTCACTTGGTAAACCTAAATAACGTTCCGTATAACCAGTGTTATACAATTTCCAAGACACTACTGGTGCGCCAGCAATCGCAATCTATACAGCAAAAATGCATTTGAGTATATTTAATCAATAGAAAAGAGTTAATAAGTAACTAACTTTGAAAAGATCTGGCATTTTTGCTAGAGCCATTAGGGCTAAGTATCCTCCGTACGACCAGCCCAAAATGGCAACTCGATCTAAATCGATACAATCATATTTTTTTGCACAGTATCTTAAACCAAACTCTTGATCCAATAACTCAACTTGACCCTTAAAAAAATATAAAAACAAATAAGAGAGCGTGTATGAGTGCATCGAGCATTTTTCCATTATGGTCAAAAACAGATTTCGTTGAAAGTGATCTCATTCGATTCCCCCTTCAATTTTAGACTTACGAAATGTTTTTTATACTGTTTTCTGTGTCTGCTCCAATCGCTTTTTGACGAAGAGCCCTAACCGATCATAGGACTTTGTGAAACCAATCTTAGTCGATTTAGCACACATTTTTTAGGCTGACAAAAGTTTTTTTCAACTGGGAACTCGAGGTTGAGAAATAAATTTTCGAACACTTAGACTCTCGATTTTGCTCAAAAACTGCTTTTTTTTACACGCAGCCAGTTTAATTCAGATTTTTTTGAGTAATATACCATTCGACAGAGAATTTTTCTGATAGAAAATAAATAGGTAGACCAAAAATTTGATAAAAATCGACTAATAAAACTCTTTATTCATCAAAAAATGGTTTTAGGCAAAAACAATATTCGGAATCAACACCAAAAAATGTATCTTTTTAAGTTTCGACAAAATAGTTCGTGAAGGTCAAAGAATTTCACCTGGGGTGTACATTTACACGAGCGTAATTTTTCAAAAATGAGCTTCGAAAATTTTTCCAGAATTAGCCAATAAACGGCTGAAATGAGATTATCAGTCGAGAATATTAAACAATTTTGCGTGAGAACACTTTTTAGACTTGACTAGAGCAAAAAAATTGGGAAAATTTTTTCTCAGAAATAACGCCTATAGAGGAGGACCTCAGATGAAACTTGTTGACCTTCACGAACTATTTTGTCGAAACTTAACAGACACATTTTTTGTGCTAGTTCCAAATATGATATTCGTTTTTATCTAAAGCCATGTTTTGATGAATAAAAAAAGTTTTACTAGGCAATTTTTATCAAAAAATTTGTTCATCTACCTGTCGACTTTCTATCACATTTTTCAATACCTGTCAAAACTTTTTAAAATTCCCAAAATGATTTTATCTTGTGCAGAATTGTCAGCTCTAAAATTCCAAGTAACTTTTGGAGCTCTCTGGTTTAACTTGACGGTTTAATTTCGTATTTTTCAAAAATTAAAAAATCGAGTATTTTGACTTTTTTTGCTAACAAAATAGACCCGTAGAAAAAAAAAAATCGAAATCGTACGTTTTGTTCAGTTTTCGATTCTTCATTGAATAATATGTTGATCGAAAAAGCCGGACTCTATCGGTGGCGTAAAAATTCAAATCCAGTTTTTTCCTTTTTAAAACAAACATAGGGAGTATCTTTAACCAAAAAATTATTTTTCAGCCAAGACATCCTCTCTCGGTCTAGACATGCATTAGTTATAACCGATTGAAATTGTGCGCTTTTTTCGCAATAACATTTTCTCAATGAAAACTGATTTTCTGGAATTTTTCTAACAATTGAGTTTTGTAGAGTAAACATTTTGCTACAAGATGAGCTATGGGAGTATTCTTCATCTTGATCCATAAAAAAAGATTTAAAAGTCTTATATTTGACTATTCTTGATGGGTTTATGGATGTTCTCATGTATCATGGATATCAGAAATTATTGATAAAACATAAAACCTTCTCACCTTACCAGTCGATATTTTAAATGAGCTGCCTCGAGATTAACTCCACGATTTGCTGCTCCACGATTATCAATCATAACAACACAAAAACCCATTTGAGTCAAAATATGAGATCTTGAAGCACTAAAAGAAAACAAAATATTTTCAACGATCATTTAAATTTTTACCAACAAAACGTGAATAATGAAAACTACCTCCATGTTCCCTACCGATATCCTGACCATAAATTTTGGACACTCGATACTTCCGGACCACCATAAATTTGTAAAATAGTTGGATAATATCGTCTAGGTTCAAAACCTATTGGTTTCATAATGATTCCATACATCATCACACCGTCATATTGAAATTCAAATAATTCTTGTTCACTCCATCGATATTGAGTAGTTGGAAAAAACCTTGAGATCAAATCGTCATTTTCTTCCCGAGAAACAGCTAGAACATCAAATGAATCGTTGTCATTATTAAGCTAGAAAATTAAACTATAAGTTCGACTACAAGACTGTCAGTATAGGAAATCGATATAATATTTGATAATAAAATCACGAGAAAGCAACTTGCTATTCATAAAAATGTCTAACTATAGTCACTTTATATATCAAATGTATCAGATTCATTTACCATGTGGTGATAGAAAACTTCCAATTTTTCTCACTGTAATAAGATCGACGTTTGATTGAATATTTTCTATCATATACAGATTGATTTCTGGAGCTTTTGTTAGAGAACTATACGTAGATATAAATAAGGTTGCTTCCTAAAAATAAGAAAACAATTGAATGTCGCTTGCGAATGAACAATCAATATTATCGATTCCTGTGCTTACTTAACCTTATTTAATGTAATGGAATGGGAATAATCTGGTACAGTCAGACGGTTTAGTTTTGTTGGATATAACCAAGACGTTACATAACTGAAGATAGATACAAATATTATGAAACACTTTTTTTTTGTGACATTTCCAGACATTCGCTTGAGATTAAGTAAAATGAAACGTCTACTAGAAAATATGTCCTATCATCCAATTTCCACTTACAGGTGTGTTTCGAGTGGTGTGTCTTTGAAACCGGTAAAATAAACTAATTTATTGTGTTCATCAATCCAAATTTCATTATTATCTACACACCATTCACCATCAATTAATCGAATATGTTCAATTACAGACGCATAAACAAGATCTACAAAGTAAAATTAATATTTACATTCTGAAATATGAGACAAATGTCTGTTGTTGTTGTTGTTGTTGTTTTGTTACTCACATTTTGAATCAGTAGAAAATGATGACTGAAGGTCAACATTGACATATTGTAAGTGTAAATAGCCAGTTTCCTCTGATGCTGTGACAAAACGAATTTGATTTGTGGTGGATGATGATAAGAAATAAAGAATATTATGGACCTATTGAAATTGAAAATAGGATTCGAAAAAAAGTGATCGAAACAGAAGTGAAGACTCAATGTTTTCAACTTTAAACTCACTAAGTATTAGATTGAACTCTAACCTTTATATAACTTACTTTAACAAGTATATCATTTGTCTCTTCGTACAATATATAACAAAATTGTTGTTGATTGTCATTATTAACCACTTGTTTTTCTGCACTATTAAACATACTCAATGGAATTAATATAAGACATTTTTTTGTTTGTGATCGATTCATGGCTTGTATCCAAACACTAAAAAAATGATTTCAATTTAAGTTTGATTAAAAGTTTATTTTAATTTTTTTCTTACAAATTTCCGTCTGGTGTCCATCCAGCTCGTGGCAAATATTCAATCCAAGGCACAATTGTTTTTAATTCGATACTAAGATGTTGTTGAACAATATGAATTATCTTAATGGCAAAAAAATAACAATAAAATAAAGAAATAAACAACGAAATAGTTAGAAAATAGATTATTTACTTCATTATTTTCATTCAGATGTATTTCTAACAATTTTAATGTACTCTCTGAATTTTTTCCACCAGCTTTTGGATATCGAAATGTTTCAATCTCTTCTGAGTTTTCTTCAGTTGTGGAAATATATACTAAATCGACACCTCCATCATTTACTTCTTCATATAATATGCGATAAACTTGTTCATCTAAACAAAAATGAATCATACTTTAGCTTTTTATTGCAAAAATAAAATAGTCACAAAGTCGTAATATTTTAGTTATCATCATTCCTTACGTGTATGACATTTTGGTTGCCACCAATAGCCTCGATAACGTGAAAATTCTTCTTGAATAACGAATGATGGTATTCCAGCGCTTAGAACGTCATGAAGAAAATCCCCAGTTCCTTAAAAATATCTGACAGTAAGAAATTTCTATTAATAACATGAAAAAATACATACCCAATCGAGCGTATGTACATTGTAATTCTTGATGACTGATGAGATTTTTACACCAAATATTCTCATTGCGAATAAATGCAATCATATTCGAATTATGTGGACACATTGTCACATCGATTGGTGAATCACTGGTTAAAAATTGAATTTCAATCGGATAAGACTCAAGATCTATCTCCTGAAATGACAAAAAATTTTAAAACAATAATTAAATGGTCTTTGAATTTTTCTATAATTCATTGTCTAGCATTACTTACATTTTCATTTTGTGTCGTTATCATTGCAGTACTTTTATTTCCATTTAGATCATCATAATAATAAAATCGTCCTTTTGCCTGATATAATATTCTCTGTTGAACCATTGTATAAGCGGTTATCGAATGTGTATAAACGGATCTCATTCGTTCTCTTAACAATTGTTCTGCTTTACTCATCGGTAGATGACGTGTAACATTTGATGATGAAAAGAGAGTTGTAGCTTGAGATGAATAATCGATTAATGACGATAAGGATGATTGACGTAAAAGATCTTCATTTAAATCAATAAAGTATAAACTTGTTCCATTACTATAAGAAATTGTGTCAATATAATAAAGACGAAAATAATTTGAGCTTGTTGTAGTTTGAATATCGGTAGAAGATATTGTGGATAGTGATGAAATATCGGTTAAAACTGTTTTTGTTTCAGCTAATTCAGACCATAATCGAAAATGAAATTTTTCTGGCAAGTAATGACCCGTACTCATTGCTAATGAACGACGAATTGATTGCATGTCGGCTTGTAATTCAGTTGATAATCTGGCCATGTCAGATAACAATGATACTTCACTCATAGTTATAATTTATTTCTGAAATAAAACAATTTAACCATTTTTCTTTCAAGTTTTATAGAAGAAAAAGTATTTTTGGCTATAAAAAATCGGAAAATTGACAAAACAAAACGAGATTTTTATTATTTTTTTATCGAATATTGAATATTCTCATACATTTAGCAAATAGATTCAATATATTTTCAAAAATAAAAAATAAATAGATAAATATATTCTCTGATTTTTATATATGTATTCTCAAAAGAGCAATAACAACTAAATAACAACAAATAAACAATAAGATAATCACTGTGCGCGTACATTGAAATAAAAATAGTTCAAAAGAGAGAACAAAATAAAAATTAATTATTTCGTACAACCCTATTGGCTGCTAGTCGCTGTTCTTCTGGTGATTCCCATTTTTCTAATTCTACCACCAGCGCATTCGACGCAATGTCATAACTTGTTTGACGATGAGCTGATAATAACGCCACCAAAACTGCAGGAAATAAAAATGTAGACATTAAACTTTTGAACGCCGAACGCGTTAAAGCTCTAAAATAAATAACATTTGTGATATAAAGTCATAACGCAAATGATACATACGAAATATAACTCAATAGAAGTCCAGGTTCGACAAGAACACTTCCATCGTCTTGAATTTGCATACTGTTACATCTGATCACTCTCAATCTTAATAAACGTTTTCCCGGTGTACAACCATATTTCGCTAGACAAATTCCCTAAACATAAATAAAAATATCATAGTGAGCATGATGTACTTTCGTGGATGTTTTCCCTTACTTCAAAAGCAATACTTGTAATTGCGTAGCCAATCTCCAAAAAAATTAGTTCAAATGGTATTGACAATGTATCGTCATATAAAAGCGACGAGACCATATAGCTTAGCGTTAAACGATTTTCATCACTAAAATTACAAAACAGAAGAATTATATTAGTCACAAACAAAATATAGCTTTTTTTTCCTCACATCAAATGGAATGCGTTTGCTATAATAGTAACAACTAGAAGTTTGAATGCATGTAATAGTATAAAATCAATAACTTCTGCAAAAAATCGTCTGTAAATCGAGGCAAGTACCAAACGAGCTACACCAAACAACATAACAGACTTTACTTATTCATAATTTTTTCTCTATTTCTTTCGTCTTACAATTTCTAATTTCCACTAGTGGATCAGATCTTTGACGAATATTATGAGATGTCTGCACTGCAGCATCGGCAACAGCCGCTAGCACACATGCATTTGTTATTGCTGGTAATTGTTGAAGAAAATTATTCATCATCAACATATTGTAATAGTTTACACAGGACATATTCCATGTGTAGTAGGCATCTAAAGAACAAGCCGGCATATATTAGTTCACAAACTTGGGATGTATAAGTAATAGATGCTTACGCTGCCATTGTTCAACTAATGCTGAGTATTCGCTAACTGTTAGATCAGTTTTTTTATCCGTTGTAGTAGCTGTTGATACATCTGTTTTCAAATCTATCCGACTTTTCTTTGGAGTAACCATATTGTTATCGAAAGAAGCCATTCAGATTTTATTTTTTATTTTAGCAACCAGAGTACATCTAAAAAACAGAATATAAATTTTTAAATTTTGAGTTTTAGCAAGAATGTAAGCATCAAGATTGTAAATAGAGCCACCTTTCAGCAAAAAACCTTGTGACGTTTTTAAATAAAGAATCACAGTATTAAGATCAAAAGAAAATAACAACCATTATCCACTGTTGGATAGAAAATAGTGCGGACAAATGTTTATATTAATTTTTTTTGTCACTATGTCTGAAAAGTTGAAAAATGATTTAATCTCGATTTAGTTCAGCCAAATGTGTGTTTGATCTCATTTCAATTTAGTTTCTTGAAAAATTTGACTCGCGTTTTACTACTAAAAGATTTGCATGTGAACCAAACTTTAAAGAAAGTAAGCTGAGATGAGGTATTATATGATTGTATAAACCCCCGTTCACATGCCAAATCTATCTTTTTTCTATCCTTCCTAAAACTGACTAGTGCTGTGCCTTGTATGTCAGTTCGTTTTCTCTTACTGTTCTTGATTCTGTAAATAAACTTGCTTCTCGTGTTATTTCTTGCAATTATGACTGCCGTTCTTCTAGTTCTCTACTTGTGTCTCAACTTTCTCTTCCAAATCTCTCCCTTCGTCGTATGTACTTTAGGCTTCTACAGTTTTTCAAAATTTATCATTGTCTAAGTCCAGTTTCTCTTTTTTATACTATTCACCGTCCTCACTACTCATCTTCACGTCTTCATCATTCTAATTATGTTCGCATTCCATCTTCTGTTGATGGTTTTTCTCCGCAAACGGTGTATTCTTCTTTTTTTTATTCAACTATTGCTGATTGGAATAATCGGCCAGAGTTAGTTATTCGTCTTTCTTCTTTCAAAACAGCTTTACTTCACTATTTCTTCCAGTGAAACATTTGTCAGTTAAGGATTTATATTTGTTCGTTTTTGCTTATTTTTACTACTTCTGATTGTAACCTTAGTTTTCTTCTTTATTTTGCTATTTTTTATTACTCTTTTGGTGTTGTTTGGCTTGAGTCATTGTTATTACAGATTGGTGACCTTTGATGACTCTCACTTTTCGTGAATAAAACAGTTCTAGTCTTATTTAAATTTCGCTTTATCCAATACGACCGTTCCACAAAAAAACATTTATGATAAAATTAGATATCAAGGTCTCGAAAAAAGACATCTGAAAATCAGATGTCCAACTTAAATTCTAGAAATTAAGACAACTCAAAGTCCCTCTCGACCTTTGCTTTTCCTTCAGTATTTCGAACATGACTTAACGTTTATAAAGATGTCTAATGTAAGTATAACCTGTGTTTGTGAGTTTTAAAATGACATCGCGTACACGACGTGAACCAAATTGTCCAATAAGAAATGATCACGGATTATCTTGATGTTCATTTTTTACAAGATAGGGGTAGAAAGAGGTTGACATTTTCTGTGAGAACAGATTTCGACTATTCATTACTAATTATTTGATCTGTTGCTGGTTATCACTGGTCGAAATCATCAGTAAATCAGAAAACAGCTCTTGACTCTATGAAGTCTTGTCGTTAACTCTTGAAGTGTCATTTTCAGCGGCATCTATGCAATGGTACGTTTAAAGTATCTACAAAAAAAAAGTATCTACTAAAATACAAGAGAAGATTTCATTAAAAGTTCTTTATGTTGAACGCAAGTGTCAACTTAAAGCACATTGACACTGATGTTTAATGAACGCTTTTGATTTATCTTGACCAAACTTTTTTACTACTATGCTAAGCTTTGAAGTGAAACATTTGCAGAATACAGAGTTGGTTAGTATGAAAAAAATTTGAATTTTTATAGGTGGCACAAAATAACAGTTTTATGTTTCAAACTCTTGGGTGATGGTAAACTCCGTAGGTCGTTTTTTACAAAAATTTTTTGATTTTATTCAACGCGGCTCGATCGTTCAAACGTATAGTCGTTTTCGTCGACCGAACGAACCACTGTGCGATTCATGAAAGGATTATTGAATGAAATGAACGTAAAATTAACGAATGAATGAAAAACGCGTTTGATCCGTTTTTTAGTACGAAAAAACGAGTTGTCCAACCATCAAAGTTTGATGAGACAAATCACGTAGAAAATCCGCATTTACCATCACGCAAGGAATACATAAGATCATCATCAGATGTCGTTCTTTGATTCTGTTCATTAACATTTTGAACTATTGCCGATAAAGTGTCTTTTTTATTCAATATTTGAGCTAACAGCTCCTCCATCGACACGAAGTAAGCACATTGTGTTTTTCGATCAGTTTCATCCAAGATAATTTCTCTTGGAAGAAGATAATTAAAAAACTTCTTGGATAAGTTTTTCAACTGATATTCACGATCTTGAATCAAGATCTAACTGAAAAAATTCAAGAAGTCAAGATATTGGTTACAAGAAGTTTCATTAGGGTAAGACCTTTCTAAATAAAAACCGACGTATGTTATGGTTCTAAATTGTACACCAGAGTCGGCAAATTCACTTCGAGACAAAATAAACGATGGCATGCAATCTGTTTTCAAAGAACTGACATGCAAACCCAACGGCTTGTTCAGCTAACTCGAGACTTCGTTGATTAAGTTTTTGAAAAAATTATTTTAGAGTAGAACTAAAAGAAGCATATCACTACATGCAGTTTTTGGCGGTGATTACGAATCTCACATTAGTTTTTTAAAAAAATTAAATTTTTGCGTCAAAAATTCAGTTTTAGAGATAATGGATTAAGAATGGATTGATTTAAGGTGCCGGTAATTCAAAGTTACAGCAAGAATTTGTTTCCGATTTTTCTGGCATGATTGGATAGAGTTTATACGTTCATTTATTGACGATGAGGGCAGTTGACGCCAGTTTCTTCTTAACATAAGAAATGAGAAGTAGCGAGTGAGTGGAGCCGAGAGGAATGGTTATAAATGAACTCGTCATTTTGTAATCAGAGGACAAAATTTAGTTGAATGACGTTCATCGGGAACATTCTCCCTACAGAATTTTTCGATAGTACGCATATCCATAGTCGATACGTTTTGCATCGTTTCTGAACTGTTTTAGATAAAATGTTTTCGTTTTCAAAAGTAATGAAACATGCTATTTTGGGGAATAGGCAGATAGTCAACTGAAACGTTCGTCACCGATGCTTTTGTCTTTGACGAAAGTCCGACAAGTGCTTTCGTCACTGACCAAAGTTTTGTCTGACTTTTGTCAACTGACCGAAGTCCATCTTACGTTGGTCAGTTGACGAAAGTGGAACTGTATCGTCGACAAGTGATGAAAGTTCACTTCAGAAATGTACCATTCTCAACTTCATTCAACATCAGTTAGAAGGTCCCAATTGGAACATTGGCCAAAGTACAATCCGATACTGTTGTCACTGACGAAAGTCCGACAATACTTTCGTTATCTGATCGAAGTAAGGTGGACTTTGGTCAGTTGACAAAAGTCAGACAAGATGTTGGTCAGTGACGAAAGTATAGGTGACGAACCTTCCAGTTGACTTTTTTCCGGTAACTCAGTATTTTGTGCAGTTTTAAAAGAACTGCAAAACACGAAACGATGAATTCATTTATAACCATTTCTATTGACTGCACTTAGTCACTACTTCTAAATATAGAAAATTCGCAAACATATCATACTTCTTGTTTACTATCACGTCGATATACGTCAGTCAAACGTTTTAGTTTTCTCATCAACTATACACAACAGCTTGAAGAGCTAAAACTATTCAGACTAGGCTCTGCAAACTGAATATATTCGTATGTTGGTTGGAGGAAGTTTTGAAGGTCTAGAGTGGTTAGACAATATGCACAATATTGTGTACCAGCAAGCATCATCTGAGAGGAGCCAGATATAACACCTGTTTTATTATTTCAGTTAATAATCATATTTCCGTTTTATTTTCTGAAAGCTGTTCACAACGTGTATTATTATAAGTTAAAAAATATAAAAAGCAACAGACACACACAACTGATAAGCATTTCAAACACAATAGAAAAAGCAATAATTAAAAAATAACAAAAACAGTGTGTTTCCCGGAATAATAGTTTATCGTACAATTTAACGACTATATTACGTTGTTTGCTGAAAATAGAGAAGAAACAGATGTTCAATTAGACATAAACCCTCATCACGTATTGGCGTCGTGATTTTAATATATGTATTTTTAGAATTTAGCTTAAACTTTTTTCTACGACAGAAATGTGACTTTGAACAAAATCTCTCATAGACACTTCCAACATCAACTAATCTAAATAATTTTGCATTAGCTCTATGATAGATCTATCAAATTATTTTTAGCCTTAAACTTACAATGTAAAGATTTTGCTTTCCATCGGAGTCAATATGTTGTACCTCGGCACTACGAATTTGAATATGACCTTCGCTGACGCTACCTGAAGTAAAAAAACAAACAGACTTACGATGGTCTTTTCATTTTACTTACACTTACCTGTTCCAAGCTGTCGGCTTTTGTGTTTTATTCTACGGGAAAAAAAGAAATGCATATTACCCAAAGGTATTAATGAACGCTAACTCATTGTTGATTCTTTAATTGCAGATGTTTCCTCTCATTTCAATTTTTACAGACAAAAAGATCCCAAAAGATATTCATCTTCATTGAATTTGAACAAAATGTCTATCTTTCAAAAATTAGCTTTTGTTCGGGTTTTTTTCTCTTCGTTAAAGCGAATTAACACCATTCAATATCCTGCTTTGCTCATGCTTATCAAAAAACATTAAAATTTATCTTACAAGGGTAACTTTTAATAAAAACAGTTTTTGATGATATCCTCGTCTTCTTCATTTCATTGTACACCTACTTTTGAATGATTTGTAAAAAGTGAGTATCATTATTTTCTCGACCCATCTGGTTGAATAAATGAGTGATCAATTCGCATGGATAACCAACTAAAATCAGCCAGTCACCCTTAAACAACAAAACACAAAATAAATCGTGCTTGTTTTGATAATAAAATTTTTATCCTACTCGACTTTGTTCTTCGTGTTCCATGTCAGCATGAATACAAATAAAACCGTCTTTAAGTGGACTGCAACTCACACCTAAATAAAGAGTAACAAAATTCTTTCAGTTGTTCTAATTTCACTTCTATCATCAAAAGAGTTCATCATTTAAGTTAGTCTATTACTGACCCTTTATTTGTGCAAAAGTGAGCATCTCTTTACAACTTCCTTTTGTTGTTAAATTATAAACACGTTCGTTGGTTAAAAATAACAGACGGGGACGCTGTTTATAACCTTGTCGATCAAATTTTGTCATCGAGCATGCATACTGTAAAAAATAGGATAACAAAATTTTCTTCTTGTCTGTATTACTCGAAGTATATATATATTAATAGAGTTAGTCTAACTACCTACCACTAATTTTTCATTTTCTAATAGACACTTTTTTCCTTTTTCAAATTGTTTCATTAAATTTTCCGCTAGAAAATAAAGCAAATTAGTACACAGCAATCAATTTCACACTTTTTTACTTACGAATTCGATCCGCTTTCAATTCAACGTCATTTGGATCAAAACAGCTTTTTTTCTTTTGAAATAATCTTGTTATCAGAGGATCTTCAGGCTATGAAAAGTATAGAATTTTGATAGATCACATATTCCTATGTCTAAGGAGCAGTATCCGATAATTTTTTCAGCATTATGATTAATTGTAAAATGTTAGAACAACTATATGTAAGCTGGCAGTAGTGGCTCTAGTGAGAAACCTACAAATTTCCTGACAGAATTCTAGACATATTCTACCAGAATTCTAATAGAATTTCGCTTAGGCTTTTCAGAATCCTAACAAGAAAATACGATTATTAAAAGATATATAGATCCTAAACGGATCATGAGAGGATCTTGAACGTTAGGATCCTATAGGATTTGAGGAGGAAATAGGAATAGGAAGTCTGTAGAATTTTTCCTAGGGTGGTACAGGGTACTCTTTGACAGAAAGTTTTAAATATTGCCTACGCAAATGGAATTTCTGTTTTGATCTATTCTATCTATCCAGTCTACCAAATAATACTAATAAATAAAAGAAAATGAATAATTTAAACTTTTTTACTTACATCTTCTCGTTTATTCACTTGATTATTAATGACTGTAATATCTCTGTTGCTAGCTGTTGACTGTTTACGTTCAAAATTTTGTGTTGTGACATTATTCTCTGTTGTGTCTATAGTTGGTGTTGTTAGATGTTGTTCATTCACAGAAGGTACATCACCAGCAACAATAACAGTAACATCCGGTGTAGGAGGAGAACTATATTGTGTTAAAACTTCATCTAAAGCATGAATAGCTTTTTCTTCAGCAGCTGTTGTTGATGTTACCGATGTTGCCTGTAAAACGCTGTCATCTGCATTTTTACCACAAATACTAATATCTGTTTGTGATGATACATTAGCAGTACGTTTTAAATTTGTAGTCGTCGGCGTATTATTGTTATTATCATTCATGATCAAATCTTTAACTGTTGATCCTGAATAAATATTTGCCAATGATTTTGACTTAATACGGGTATGCTTTTTTTCTGTCTTATCATTAACATTATTATTGATACTAAGACTTTGACTTTCAGTATTATTTTCTTCTGATCTATCTTTATTGATTTTTTCTGGCAGTTGAACATGGATTGTATTAAATTTCTTACCATTATTAAATAAATTCCAATGTTTTATGTGAGAAAAAGATTGATATAGTTTCTCAACATTTATTTCTTCACCTTCATCACTACTTTCTCTGTTGTTTTCTTTCTCATCTCGTTTCGTAACATTATATACTAAACAAAATTTTTCATAATTTCTTAAATTTCGCATAATAATCTCATAATTTTTAATCGAATCAGATATTGATACTGGATCCATGGCCGACGTTGAACGTTTCAAAATTTGATGCATAGTATTTTCTTGCTCAAGAGTGTTGATCCCATTTGATTTTTCTGGAGAATACGATAAATAATTGACAAATGTTTCAAATGGTAGTGGCTCTTCAAAACTGTTTCCTAATTGGGAGAGTTTTTGTCGTTGTCGTCGTGCTTTATCACCAATTAACAAATGGGTTTTCATCATGGGAATGACGCTATCAGATGCACGACGTGTTGAGCTCAATACCAGACCGCTACGAAACACGGCACGTGTAACGTTCCATACGTGAATGGCTGGTTTTTGATGTTGTTTACCATGATCGGGTAATCTGGACGTTTCGTTGTCAACTTCCACTGGTTTTTTGTCTATAGATTTGATTTTAAAAATTTGTCTGATTAATTCTGCTGATTGAGCCGGCTGTCTCAAGAATTGATCCGAGGGTGATGGTGGTGTTTCTTCTTGAGTCATAACGACAGCGTTATCATCGTCCTTTGCAACAGGATTGTCTTCTTCATGAGTTAGTGTACTAATTACTGAGAGAAAAGAAAATAATTTAACAAAAAAGATACAATATCATAACAGCAACACAGTTACTCAGTTTATGTTGAACCGTTAAAACTCACTACACTATACGCACGTAATACCGGTGATCTCCGCTTTCAAAACTACGATCAGAGATGGAAAGTCTTTTTGACCTAATTAATCTATCATTTTATGTATAATTGTTATCATCAAAAATTCAATACTGAGTTCACAAACTAAATTACAAATAAAAATAAAAATCTATACATACTTTTCATTTCTTGTTCGACAGCTTTCGGTTCATGAATAACTTCTCTAACAATGTTATCCGACTTTAAAATCTTTCTTGATACTTCTCGAATAAAGCTTGGTCTAATAATATTATCTTCATAAACTTGCCCTTTTTTAACAAACATCTGAATCGATTGTTCCGGCATGATGGGGTGCGATGGTACTGTTAAATGATCCGTTTTTAATGATATAGATACATTTGATTGATCATTTTTTACCATTATCGGTTTATCAGTAGTACTATTGTTAACATCAATTGTGGCTACCTGTTTGATTAGTTTTGGTTTTGTTGTAGATTTTGGCGGAATAACAATGTGATCATTATTAGCCGCTATACTATTCCACATCGATGTTAAAGATGCCACCGTTCCCCTACTCTTGATGAATAGTTCCGTTTCCATAGCCTTCTTTTTTTACGGATCTTTATCTCTTTCAATTATGTGTCTTTACTCAATTGTGCATATAAAAAATTTGCCAAATCCTTTATTTTTTCTATTTTCATATAATCCTTATCGAAATAAGCACGTTTGTGTCTTTTGTTGTTATTGGTATTTGCATATTTCACATTTTATATATTAATTTAAGCTGAGTTAACAAGGAGAAAAGAACTATTACTAAATAACAATAAATCAGCATTCATCTATGGATTTGCGAACATTTTTCCTGACAGGTAATATAAATGACATCTCATTCTATTGGGTTTGCATCTGCAGTCTAGTTTAGATTTTGTGATCTTTTCTATGATGAAAAATAACAATACGTTTTCTCATTACCTAGAAGAAGAATTTCGCATAAAAATAAAGTAAAGAAGTTCTTCAAATAATTAGAACACGCAAATCTTCTTTTTTTAAACACTACGGCAGGTATCACCTTTTTTTGCTTTTTTTCTGCAAAACAAGAGAAAAAAAAGCTCAAAGAACATCATTCACTGAACTAACAAATTATTTTATATTTTTTGAGCTTCTATGGTAGATAAAAAAATGGAAGAAAAAGAACCGATAATGTTGTACTAAACACGTACACTTATGTTATATTATGTCATCAAATGAAAAAGAAAAATAGTAATTATTTGGACTTTTGATATAACAAAAATGAGCAACGTTCTGAACAAAAAAGAAACAGATGAATGGAAATGAGCTAAATAGATCTGGTCACGGATGTTATACGAGATACCAGCTAGAGTACTATTTATGTTCACATTTCTAGTCAAACAGAGATAGGAAAGAGTTTTTTTTATATTCTTTGAATGCTTATAATAATGTGTTTCACCTTATTCCAGTATAAACGACTACGAAGAAAATTAATTTCTTTTTCGACAATAAAAGAGAAAATGCTGCCAAGTATCTGTACAAACGGTTCAACTACGTATCAAATATTTCAGATAAGATCAGAGATATAAATTTTGAACAGTTTCCAACGTTTTAATATGCTGAGAATGAAATATGACACATGTTCATGAAAGATATCAATACACTCCTAGTATATTAATAAACTCAGCAACAATACTATTTAGTTTTTATTATAATTTCCATTTTATGAATGCAAGTTGTTTACTTCTGCTGTCACGAGAATAATAGTATTAAAAAAATGAAATATTACGAATAAACACGAAATGAAAAAGTAACTAGATGCAATAGTGTTTTTTAACTAATTTGATGTGTATGTTACACTCGTGGTAATTTGTTGTTCATTGCATTATAGACATTGTCTAGAAGAACAAAAAACTATATACAAAAAACAGTGAAATCATCAGATTTATTATTCCTTACCGAGCAAACTTTGTGGTATCGGATTCCGTTCTCCTCTTCCACCAACAACTTCCGTAATCCAGTTTTTACTATTAATATCCCCATATTTCACACTATCGTTAAGTTGATTGCCACCTAGTAATAAATTATCGAAATTTCCTGATGGATAAGAGGGATCGGATGCCGTTTGATATCCATTAGATGTATATCCATTGCTTGCATATCCGTTCCCTGCATATCCGTTGCCTGCATATTCATTACTTGCATATCCGTTGCTTTCATATCCGTTGTTTGCATATCCGTTGCTTGCATATCCATTGCCTGCATATCCGTTGCTTGCATATCCATTGCTTGCATATCCGTTGCTATTGTACATTTGCTGAGGCTGTTGCTGTTCATATGTATATGGTTGAAGAGGCGGCTGCTCGTTTGATAACATTTTTGTAAGATAACGAGTTTGTGTATCAACTTGTGGCGCAATGGGAGGCTGTTCACGAATTATTATAGGAGGTGGCGTTTTTCCTCTTGGAGCTCGTGTACGGATAATAAGAGGTGGTGCAGGCGCAGGTTGAGGAGGGCGTACTTCTTTAATTACCAATGGACCAGGTGGCGGTGGTGTTGGAGGACGCACTATAGATAGAAAAGAGAGAATTATTGTCACATAGTCCAAGTACAGTATGGAAGGTGTTTTTATAACACGCTATCAGAAAAGTCTATATTGGCATTAGACCTTCGATTATAACGTTTCTCTTTCTCTCGCTGAATTCAATGAAAATTTACTTACAGTAACGTACGATAATTTGTTGTTTATATGTTGGTTGTTCAATTGGAATCTGTTTTTTGATAACGATCGGATTTGGATCATAATTTATTTTATATTGATTCAATGGTAACTGTTTACCTTGTGCTGTCAATGGATCAAAATTTGATGGATGCAAACCAGCCGAATACAATTCGTGTTCCGTTAGACCAAGTGAACGTAAATCAAAACCAGCATTGCCGGCAGTGCCTGCTGCAATAAACGCCCCGCTATCAGGATCCATTTTACTATCGATACCATTCTGGTGTCCATTAGCTGTTACATACGAAGGAAAGTCGCTGTGAGCTGGAATCGGATGCGGAGGTGCATGGACCTCACCATAAACAGGATGCAACTCATTTGTATCGTATGGTGCACCATTGATATTTCCGTTTTGATTGGACCAACCTGAAAAGAAGTTTACAAAAGACTTACGACAAAATTTAAAGGCACATTACTCATAGACGTCTCATCGCATCTGGAGAGGCTTTTCATTTAAAAACTGATCAAAAGATTCTCAACAAATATAATAATCGTTCTAGTAGGGTAACCAGTATGTCATGAAAACTATAGTACCCATTTCCTTTTTTTATTGACAAACAACACTTTAAAATGTGAAAACGTTTTTGCAAATCTTGTGTACTTTACCATAACTGTTTGAAGCCATTTTTCGTATTTTTTAACTTTAACGACACTTTAACACCGTCTTCAAAATACAGAAGTTTGACAGTATGGTGGCGTGTATATCGGTATGTCAAACGAAAAAAAAAAATAGAGCTCAGAATGAGATAATAATAATCCATCAACTCGTTCATCTGTGACCAATCATGTTAATAGATGTATTTTTACTTTTTTGATCATATAGCGGGGTACATATAACTACAGCGAGACTTGAGAAATAGATTATTAATTCTAAATGTTGATGTAAGGTGCATACACATACATACAACACAAATACTCGTTCTTTCTAACCGCGATGGTTATGTAAAAAGAAGAAAACAAATGTCAGACAGGTACATGTAACAAAGTGTCCCAACGCTTGTAAGTTGCGTATTTCGTTCTTTTTCATCTGTCGCATGTTAGGTTAAATCATATGTTTTGTAAGTGATAGTTGGCAACTCCGCCAAATAGCGAATATCCACTAGACCAAAGTGCACAGAAACCGGCAACTCAGAGAAAGAGAGAGAGAGATTTAGTTTTTTCAAAAAAATCCAGCAAAAAGTTGTTTAAAACGAATTCCTAACATTTATTCTAGACAAACGAAAAAATTTCAAGAAGAAAAACTATTTAAATGGTTATGATGTTTGCATATACTCATTAACTGAGTGATCTGAACATAGCCTATTGATCACAAGATTTCATTCATTCCTGTGCAAAAGATTGCATTCATTTTTTATTCGACAGTAATAGAAATAATACAACATGAAACAAAAAAACTCATCTCTCTTGGCTCACATCTTCCAGCATGTTCGGATTAGATAAAAGTAAGATCAAATTTCCACATTCTATAATTTAAGCAGTCTGGTAACTCATACTTTCTTATAGATATGCTTTAATATACATAATCTTCTCATGGTTAAAATTTCAAAAATATAAATCGATTGAATAACAACTGATCCAATTGCTTTTGTTAGTAAATTGCATTTTGCTACATTTTCACATAATTGAGCTCTAAAAATGGGAATGTCATTCAGTGAATTATTTTGCCTAATCCGGCAATTAGATATTTATAATGTTTCTGTAGTTGACGTAGATAACTCTACTTCTTTCCAAACAAAATATTTCCACCGTACAGATGTAATTGAGATTGCCTATTTACACATTTTGTGATTCTCAGTGGAACCAGTTTTCGCTAAAATTTGAGCGAACGCTGGTATAGCGACTATGCATTATAACGACAGGACTTCATCAGATATGATCGTGCAATAAACTAACAGTTCGCACTAACAATCATACAATTTCTCATAAACGTAGAATAGTATTGTCTCTTTTTTATGTACAAGAATAATAATCACTATTTTCTGCCGTCTGGGGAAAATACCTTGTTTAAGAGATAACGAGATGTAACTTAATTGAGTACATAGTACTCCACCGCATAGTTTATTAAAGGGCAAAGGCGGACAAGCCAGAAAATTTTCTCCCAATGAAACCGATATTTTTCTATTAAAAACGTATCAGAATAATGCGTGGAGTATTTATTGTTATGCAATCGTCCTCACCAGAAAAACGATTATGAACAGTTAGAAAATAGTTCAAAATCTACAGCGCTATTTGCTCTTCCAAAATATGTGTTTAAGAATACGAATTTTTTCAATCGAAAAGTGATGTCCGACGTGTATCCATCGAGGATCGTTCGAAAACTGAATTTTTGGCTATGATTTCTGTGGTGAGAACCAGAGACCGAATCGGATCTTAGGTGGATGACCCGAACTCGACCTAACCCGAATCAATACTTTCTATGTGAGCCCGAATCCGACTCGACCCGAAGTGGTACGAAATTTTTGAGACTTGACCCGAATGACCAGAAAATTTTCTTAGGTGACCTAATAAATTTTTCTGCAAAAATAGCAGAAGCCTATAGCTTTTGTAATAGTCTAGAACATTTCTCTAATTTTTTGTCCAAGTGGTAGTTCATTCGAATTGTGATAACCCGAAACGGGAAATCTTTCTCGATCGTATATTATCATGAAGTTTAATCATCATAATGCGGCGCATATTTAAGGCGTTCGTTTTTCTGGATTTACTTATGTTTCCTTTTTTTCTTTTCTTTCTTTGTTTCAACAGTGCGATACTGTTCAGTGAATAGTGTACATTATTACACAGCGTCAAAGCAGAAAGGAAAAAACACTGTACTTCTGTTTCCGATAAAAAAGGTACATGTTGAAAAATAGATGAGTGAACCGTAACCGAAGAAAATTCCCTGATTTGTTTTCAGTGGCAATCCTCGAATGAAACTCGAAAATTTTTTTTCCTTTGGCCCGACCCGAATCAATATTTTTTACCTCCACCCGAACCCGAACTCGACTCGATCCGATCCGTGGGTCAACGTGACCCATTTCGTTCTCTGGTGAGAACAGATCAAAAACTTCTATAATCAAAATTTGATTTGAAAACAGTACTTTTTCTACATTAAAGGTGGTATCTGTGATCAGCGCAAAATTCTGTATCTACAATATGTGCATTCGAAAACATCCGATAAAAGTTTTGAAGAAATCCTGTGGGGTATTACAGGCATTAAAAACCTTATGGAGGAATGTCAGAAAACAAAATAGTGAGCAGAAAAATTCTTCACACATCACTGTAATACGTTCCTGATCGAGAAAAAAAATTGATTTCGTAAAGGAATTTTTTCTTGGTCATCCATCCTTGCTCTTAGATAGGAAGATTGTCATTTTTCATACTGGTTGCGTTCGAGTCTCTATTTATACGAAAATTGATTGTGTTTTTTTGACGGTTCAAAATATTAAAGTGAATTATTTCTGTTTGTATTCTGGAAGAATAAAATTTGAATTGAAAAAGGAACGTTCATCTTATACAAGGAACAAACCAAGTATCAGACATACAAATACAACTGTTTAAATTGACTGAACAGATTGAAAACCCGATTACGGATAAAAATAAACATGTAGACTGCTGATCAGTATCAGACAACTATAGTATGTGTATTTAAAAGTAATCCAGAATTTGAGTGAGATCAAAATGAAGCGGTATGACAAAAGATTCTGCCTGTAGATGAAAATTTTCGCACATTCAAAATTGAAATAATTGTAACGGGTGGCGCATAAATAAACGCACTCCCGTACTTTGAATATAACTCCGCCGGCTTTTATCCTATCGATCCAAATCTTTTTTCCAAAAGATTCCTTATTGAATTCTCTACAAAACCATGTCATAACAATTTTCTTAAACTGACGTGCAGCGAAATTATA